TTACTAAAAGTTGATATGTGATATACCAAAAAGAAATGGTGGGACATACATGGTAGAACTTAACTTGGTCAAGAACATTCAGTTAAATTGTATGTATTTCACGATTCTGCTTGGCTGTTATCTGTAATTCGATTTTAGTCTATTTTACAAAATTACTGATCCTAGCAAACTCGGGGCTTAGGATAGAATAGGATTTACATATTTATCCCGGGGTAGAGGAAAGCCGATAAGACGGCTTATCCATATGGCAAACCACGGCCTCTCGTCCGGTTATCATTCCAAGTCGGGTATGGGATTAGTTTTACTGTATTGTTTTGTTTTCGGAAGCATGGACTTGGTGGTGGAGGAAGCCGTAACCGACAAGCGGTTACGTGAACCACCCAACAAGGGCGAGGAGTCCAGCAATCCTCTCGCACATAACCATCCCTGCATGGGATTCAAACCTGCGAACCCACGCAGAGTAATTAGAGGTGCGGTGGCGAGCGTATTCCTAACGCTTAACCACACCGCCGCGCTTTAGACTTACCAGTGGTAAAAATCTCTGGTTCTGACAATTCACTTATCCCTGATGAATTTACTGCGGCAACACAGACTTTGTAAGCTTGGCCACTATCTAGATTTGAAAGTGTGAACTCTGTGTCTAATGTTGGAATTGTTTCGTAATTGCCATCAAATCTTTTCTTCTTAACTAAGTATGAATTGGCTCCAAATACAGGATTCCAGCTGATGATTTCTGATGTAGGTGAAGTTTTGTCACTTTTAAGGCCTTCCACTTTTTCTGGATCTGAATCAAGAAATTATGCGGACGTTGGAATATTTTACTTGAATAATAATTTATTAGTTAGGTACGTAAACGTACCAACGGCAAAAGTCGCTAGATTGCAGCTGGTACGTTAATGTACTCCACCGTTTGATTTGGCATTCGGTCGCAAACTGTTAGTCTAGTTTTTCCGGGTTTTAGTCTATTGATAAGTCTTCTTCGAGATTAACATGAGAGACGCTAATTTTTGCCTTTCTGTTCCATTTTGTTAAAGTTTGCAGCATTTTCTCAAAGTTTGTGTTGAACATATAGGTGGGGAAAAGCATGGGAGTGCACACGATAGGGCTGTAAGGCTGTATGATTTCTGGTCATAGGTAGCTTCTTGGTTGAGTAGGTGACTCTCTGACATCTTCATGTGGCAATAAAAACATATTATAAGCGTCTAAGAAGCAATTGGAAACGTTACAAAAGTTTTGAAATTTATGCAAATTTTGGCGTTTTTTGGGTGGTAATACAAGAAGTATTAGCCCTTCCATCTACCAGAGTATTTTGAGTTTTTTACAGCAACATTATTCTATTGTTTGACAATTACGAAGCGGTAACAATAGAGGATTTAGCGAATATTTCTATTTTTCATCACAGTTCGAACTCTCAAGAAAAAAAAGGGATTTTATCTATCCGGTTTGTGACTCAGACCACCACTTTTTGAAAATTTTTTTCTTCAATCGCTAATTGCAAGCTATTCAAATAAGCTTTCTAACAAGCCGTCAGTGGGCAGCAGAGGATCATTAGTTTTTCATTAGTCGATCGATTAGTTGTGGGTGTACAAATGCATAAAATCGGCGTAGAAAATACGATTATTTAATAAAAAATAGAAATCGCATGAAAAGGGTTAATTACCAATTATTAATCACATTATGGTAATATATTATAATAGATAGAAAAGGATTTTTGCATTCAATAAATGGGATAGATGAGCCTCTAACAGGGATGGCAAATCTTTTTCAATGAATCTATCATTCAAAAATGGGTATATTATAGTACTTGATTTATTGTTAGATCGAAATAATGCCAGTTTTGTTATTATTATTTATCACTGAAATGCTGGTATTGTTTCGCACTTTTGCATTCATGACTTTTAGGGTCACCGAAAAAAGTAGCTCATATGGAAGATCATGGTCTTTCACAGTTCATTCCTTACAAGTATAAAAATCTGACCATTTATTGATTCCAGATGAAGCACTTAATACGCCATTTGAATAATACATTGTATTTTTTCCAGGGAAAGGAAAGTTGATAAATTTGCTTAATCAAACAATGTATACCGGTATCTCACCCGGTTACCACAGCAAGTGTGTGTCACAATGTGCTAACTGCAAGCCTTGAGTAGGGTCATTGGTGTTATGACATATATAATGCGTTCCCAATGCTTAAAATGAATGACTCGGGCTCGATTTTAGAATACATAGAATTAATGCATATATATCTTACATGTCTGTATTGGATTCTCAAGTTTGCAGGGTTTACTTTCAACTCCTTCCTTGGAGGCAACAACCCATATATCATAGGTATCACCAGGAGTGAGATTTTCAATGTTTGCAAATCCTAGGTCAGCCTTGACGCTTTTCATTTCCCCTGTTGTTAAGCTTCTGTAGGAAACCTCGTGTTCAATTCCCGGTAATTGTTGACAATTAAATTTCACTATGAATGAAGTAGCTGGTGATTTGCATCCAGGCTTTACAGAAATATCAGTTGGTTTCTCTGGACCTGCAAATGAGAACATAATAAAAATAATTCTATTGACTACGTATTGACTAAGAGTAAACATTATACTTTGATACATTGCAATACAGTCCATTTTATATATCATCATAAAATATGAGTACTGCTACATGAAGGCTCATAAACAGCAGTAGAGATGAAAATCAGACTTCGCTATACATCTGACGTAAACAGAAGATAATTTTTGCTGCCACCTCGCTAATTAATCTATGTGGGTTTGCAAGAGCAATAATTAGATAATACGCTCGCCACCGCACCTCTGACTTCCCCGCGTCGGTTCGCAGGTCCGAATCCCACGCAGGGAAAATCATAATTATGTATGTAATGATTGCTGGACTGCTCCGAAACAAAAAACAGACTAATTAATCCACTACCAGACATGAATGGTAACCGAACGAGAGAGGTAGTTGGCCATATGATGAAGCCGTCTTATCGTATTCCCCCCCCCCCCCCCCCCCCCCAAGTTAAATTTGTAAATCCTATCCTATTGTAATACTTCTTTTACTTCGGGTCCGTGTACCTTTCTTGGTAACTGTGATACCCCATTTGATTACCCACCTGACTGAAAAGCCAAAACTTCCGAATACTGTCCACGTTTCTCAATATCATCCTCTGTAATGCATGCTGCTACTTGTATGTTATATCTACTGCCAGGGCGTAGGTTTTTGATTGTAAACATTGGAACTGGAAATTGTTGTTCAGAGGGTGTATCGCCATCTATCCAACATCTCACATAGTATTTCTCACAGCCCTGATCATCCCATACTACTGTTGCTTTTCCATCTTTTGGAGAATATCCTCTGAGCTCTGGCTTTCCTATTCTGTCAGGGCCTGAAACAAAATTTTACAGTAATTTGAATTCTCTATATTTCCAAAGTTTGGGCTTGAGAGTAAATATTGAACTAAAACTGAATGATTGTTTTTTTTTATCTTTTGTAGACAAATGTCTGTGTGTAGTTACGAATGTGTCAAAATGTTAGCTGGTGTTCTACGCACATGTCGTGCTAAAGGCTAGAAAAGTTATGTTATTGCTAAAGAACGTTGAAGGGGTTCCATGTTTATATTGGTAGGGTGAGGGGTGCAGAAAATACATTTTGCACATTAGGCATAATCAACACTCGATTATGAAATCCATTGTCAAAGGAGGAATTCAGAATTCTATATATTGACTTTTAATTTTTGAATATGACATTATAGTCTCTGTTTTGGTTGGTCGGTTGAGACCTAGGCATAAATATTGCATCAACATATGTAATTAGATTAGTACCGTATAGCAAGTAAACAACAGTCACTCATACAATTTTCATTCAGCACCCAAAAATAAAATTATAATGTCTTATACTCACATGTAGCAATGAGTGTTTGTTCATCCATTATTTATGTGGTTGCTCTTCTACAAATTCCCAAAACTGTAACAAAGACAAATTGTCATTTCAAGTAATACAAAAGTGATATACAGTCAAACCTTGATATTGTTATTGCAAAAAACTGTCATTCTCTTTTGATTCAGAGCCAGCCATACCAGCACAAGGACTCCAACTCTCTAACTGATAGTACATCATATCTGTTTTTAATTTACCCCGACTTGGAATGGTAACCGGACGAGAGGCCGTGGTTCGCCATATGGATAAGCCGTCTTATCGGCTTTCCTCTCCCCCGGGATAAATATGTAAATCCTATCCTATCCTAATTTGAGATCAGTTGGGATGAGCCATGGAAATGCTAGTTTTTGCATAGCTTATAGTGCAGGAATGTAAAAATGGTTGTTGCCAAACTTGGAATCTTCAACTTGAATATAGTACATATTATGAGATAAAATAATGCAAAGACAACTTTTCATTCAGTTTCATTCAAATGTAGGCTCTATATGCTCTAATATCCAAGATAAGAAAAAGCTAATTTAGGATGGCGCAGCAGTTGGTACATCATGCTTATCTTTAGAAATATACTTCCCATCGCGCCTCTGATTACCCTGTGTGAGTTTGAATACTGTGAGGGGTAATTATGTGAGAGAAGATTGCTGGATTCTTCACTGCCATAGGGTGGTTAACGTAACCACTGGTCGGTTACTGCTTCCTCTACCATCAAGTCCATTCATCTGAAACATATACCTGGCCAACTAATCCTCATTCACGACGCGGACTGATAAAGGGACGAGAGGCTGTGATATGTCATATGATTAAGCTGTCTTATTGACGATCATTTTTGAAAGGGGGCGATGATTGAAGTAATGAAGTAATTTATCAATATTTATGAAATACTAAAATTGAAAACTGTACCTTTCCTGACAAAAACCCTTTGCCTTTTAAAGTCACATACAAGTTCTTGCAATCAGAATATGTTTGCCACCATTGAAAACTTGTCAGTATTATTTAGCAAGTAAAATTATCCTAGTATTGAATAATTTAACTTTAACGTCTAAAAGCAGAATAAATGCAATAAATGCAAGTTAGCATTTAATGGCAAACAAATTAATTTTGTATAATATTTATCAAAGACATACATATAATCTGGAAAATAAACAAAAATACTGGTAATAAATTGTCACAAATGAATTTTTGAGAATTTCTCATACCCTACTTTTTATGCTTGTGTTCTGTAAATGTTTTGTTAAAATTCAAGCTTTGGTATTGCTTATAATTCATTTTAATTCACACGGAATAGATACCGTGAATAAAATATAATCAATAGCTATTCACATTGCACAGTTCCACACAAACTATTATCACAAATCTAAATATAAGCGCTTTTTATACAAGAACTAGAAATATGCAAATAAAATCCCTCAGTTGTTTTATTAAAATTGTGCAAATACCACTAAATTTACTCCCATTTTACCAAAAAGGTGCAATTAAAAATCAATAATTTCCATGCATTACCTATATTTAGTCATATTGTTTTGTCCGATTATTATTGTAGATAATTTGAATAATAATAACTTTTTATAGTCTGATTTTTGAATTGGCGTACTTTTATATAAGAATAGCTTTAAACTGGTCTTCTGAAATAGTGGTTTTATTTAGAACTCACAAGGAACATTGACAAAAGATATGATTGAAATACATAAAGCTATGTATTTTTTTCTATGATATACAAATTAATTTTTAAATGGTTGAAAAGTTGTTGGTGAGGCAACAAAGATAATCCAATTTTTGTATTTCTTTATAGGTGTGACCAGGGGTTAGCATTTGATTTTCCACAACAACATTTTAAACACGGTGACCAATTGAATTTTTCCTCCAGGACATGATTATTCCAGATCCGCATTATGGTTGGTATATCAAGAAATTATTACATATAATTAATAGGGAAGTTAAAAAAGGGATTATCACAATGATGGCATACATGCATTATAAACTGTTTAGGTGAAGAAAAGTCATTTTTCGTTTTTGATGAAGTGAGCTTTTTGACTTTCGAGAGTTCCATAAATAGCAACTACATAAATGTAGTAAGATTGCCCTGGTTGAAGCTCACTCAGTACTGCAGTGTGAGTTTCGGTCTCTATTGTTGCTGCTTCTTTCCCTTTTATGTCCTTTGCCACAATCCGATATTTCTTTTTAAGCACCGTATCAGGATCATCATACTTCACAATAAAACTCCTTGATTTAGACAGAGGGTTTGGTGTGACCTTGATGTTGATAGGAGCAGATGGAACTAAAATAAAATGCTTTGAGTATTACCATGGCTTACCTAAGCTGCATATAGCTATTCAAAATATAAATCATGTGACCAAAGTATCCACTTTCAAAGTAAACGCTAAGTTTTAAAATAATTTGTTTCTGTCAGGATTTCGCTTGGTTTTTTCATGTCCTTCTGCAAACAAACAACATAGTGAATTCTATCAATCTTTATATGACTGCATAAATATTAAACTTGGGATAGGGTCATAAGAATTGATAAAAAAAAACATTTCTTTTCATCTTGTTGTCTGTTATAGTTGGTGAAGCAGAATATGACACTGTGCAATAAGGGCAATCACTAAATTATATTGGCTTTGAAAATCCTGATTCCAAGCTGTAATCAATCTCATTAAAGTTTTTTTTAATAAAATTTGGGTGCTCCCAAAGTATGTGCATCATGATGGCGCACAACCTGAACATAGTATGTGTACCAGTTTAGGGTGCAGATTGTGCGCCATCTTGGTGCACATACTTCCTGAGCGCCAAAATTAGTATCAAATTACCTGTAATGTATTCAATTTCTGCACTTTTCTCACTTTCCCCAGCAGCGTTTGAAGCTGCCACTCTGAACTTGTAAATCGTAGATCTTTTCAATTTGTTGAAGTAGAAATAGTCCTCTCTAGTTTCAATCACTTCCTGCATGTCCCCGTTTGCTGCCCAAAATATTCTGTAATTCTTTGGTCTGATTGTGTTGTGCTCCCATGAAAGTTTCATCCCATCATGAAATTCTTCTCTTCTTACATCTACAGGAACTCCAGGATCTATTAAGAATATATGAAAGGTACTGTTATAATTCATGCTGTTGGTATAGCGATGAGGTTCCAACGAGCATCTTGAATATGCATGGCATCACATTGCGAAAAAGACGGAAACGAATTACCAAAAATATCACATGGGAGAATTGCAAAACTTTTTATCATTAAAGAATGGTCCAAGCAGGCATAATGACTTTTCTTTCAAGTGAGATTAAAAGAAACAACCCATATAGGTCTATAAACACAAACCTACTTGTCTTTTTTATGTTATACAACTTACATGTCTGAATCATTCTGGGGAAATTTGCAAAATCGCTTTTGAGATCACCAACTACTGCTGCCACTTGAATGCTATAATATTGTCCAGGTGTTAGTCCTTCAATCAGTGCAAAATGTTGTCCTCTTTTTGTTTGGATGAGTTTTATCTCACCACCACTGATAGGCTGAACTGATACCAGGTGGTCTACTTGTCTTGTATTTGCATTATCGAACTGAACCATAAGATGGTCATGAGGTGATGGTTCATAATTCATGACCTGAATATTAACAGGCATCTTTGGTCCTGAAAATATTGAAAAAAAAAATTTTTATTCCGAAAACTATGAAGTACTTGGTTGGCAATGTCAGATGGCCAGTCTGAAGATAAACTGAGGGAGGTGTAATACATGGTTCTAGACAGCAGTTCTCAAACTTTTCATACAACATCAAATTATCAAGGAAAATAACTGACTTACATGATAAAAAATTGCTGCCTTTAAATAAAATTCAATTTTGTTAATGTGTGTTTTATGCTTTTTAAAGTTTATAAACATGTGGGGCTGCAACTCGCAAAATTGCAGCAAGTGGTGTCTATTTCTACTGTTGTGTAACAAAAAGTAAACAACATAGAAATGTACAATGAATGGTGCTCCCGCAGTACGTGCACCAAGATGGTGCACATCCTGAACATAGTATGTGTACCAGGTTAGGGTTCAGGTTGTGCGCCATTGTGGTGAACATACTTCGGGAGTGCCCAATGGATTTATTGATTTTGGTAATTTTTAGGGCACACCTAGCAAATCGCGACTGGTGCCCCTTTGGGAAACGCTGTTTTTGGAAATTTTCTTAATGATACTACAGTTGACAAGTTCTGACAAATTATATTTACAGACATCGGTGTCTTAAATTAAATTTCTATTTAGTTATTAGTTTAACAAAATAATAATATTTTTTCTCTACTGATACAACATAGTCCTTATCACAATTGAAATATTTAAATAAAAATTATTTACTAACCAGTTTCAAATTTGATGATATTGGAAGGAACCGAGCAACCTGCTTTATTAATTTGAATTGCATTGACAAAATACATGGAACCTTTCTTCAATTTGGTCAGTGAATATTGTCTTCCATGTGTTTCAAATTCTCGTTTATCGGTTTCATCCGTCCAGCAATATAACTTATACACCTCTTCGCTGTAAAAAATGAAAGCAATATTTTTATTAACGTGTCTGGCTAACGCTATCAAAATAAAGTACATGAAATTTTGGATAGTTCCTAAACATAAACACTATATTTCATTGTTAGCTTCCAAATTTGTCACCACAATTTTAAAAAATACTTTTGTTATTCCAAGAAAAAAAAAAAAATTTTAACCATTCATCTTACTTTTCAGATGGAGTTCCTTCCCATGTCACCATGGCACACAATGGATCTTCTTTATCCCATTTTACTTTTTCTTCCAACTTCGGAGCGGAAGGATCTAAAATATAAAACTACTGGGCATTAAAAAATTCCATCGCTGTATTAAAACCAAAATACTTACGGTATGTCACATTTTTCGGAAATAGAATTTTTCAATCTGTTGTTATGAACCAGGGGCCATTTTCACTATACCTGTTTTAGTTTTGATTTTGAGTATTGTCTTGTGTCTGTTTTCAGTTTAGGCTGTTAAATCTAAACTACTACAAAATTGCAATCTTTATAGATCAAAATGTTAGATGATCTAATTTAGATCCATTAAACATTTGTGAATCTCATTTTACTTACGAAGCACACACATTCTTCCGTCTGTCTCTGGTTGGGATTCATCATGGTTTTCATCTTGCTTGTCCATGCTTGGATTTAATACTATAAAACTAAATAATTAGATGATTTTCTGAAATTTTAATCAAAAATGAAACATTAATAGGCATCATTTGAGCAATGAAAATTAACAAAGTACAGATATCAATAAAAAAACTTATCTTGAGCAATATTAATCTGAGGTTAAATACATAAGATACATCTCTATACTGTTGCCAGTAGATGTTGGATGCAATATAGTGTTCCAGTGCATGATTTATGGGGTGGTATTATGGCCCATTAGGCACCACCTGCAATATTATAAAAGTAGAAAAAAAAATATATACATGAATATATGTTATACATAGTAGGTTACATAGCGTTCAAATATTGTTGCGTAAGATTTTAATGGGATGTCCTTATAAAGAAATTGATAGATGGTCCGCCAGGCGGTGCATTAGAAAAATCATCAGGGCCTAATTATGACTTTGTAACATACACATGAACATGTAAATCAATTAACTTTTCATCAAAATAAATCTTACTTGTATCAACATTAGGTAATAAAAGAATTGTAAAATTAAGGTGAATTTATGTAAAATTCAATTATGCGCATTTTAAAAGAATTTCAAGTGGTAAAATATTTAAAATAACTTTTAAAAAAAATTCCAATCTACGTACTTTAACAATTTGAAAAAAGGCCCTCCAGGTAATGACCCACTACAACATGAAAAGTAATTTTTTGAAAACATATCTTTTTATAATATTCGTAGGTTGCTACAGAATTAATAGCAGACATTTTGACCCATGATAAGAAATTAAATAAGCCATGGGCAAGGGGGAAGTATTAATACTGTCTTTTGACAAAATTAGAATCTTACAATGAGAGTTTTGGCAATCATAATTGTAGACCACTTAAACAAATAACATTTACGATTGACATGAGCAATAGAAAATATTACTTATTGTAGATCTTTTTATTAGATAGCAAATTTACTTTTTTTGCCACAAAACAGAGTTTGGACATTAATTTTATAAGTTTGTCCAGCTTTTAGGTCATTAAATACATATGAGTATTTTTTAGTTATTGCAGATCTAACGTCTTTGACTCTGGGAGAGGTACAGCTTGCTACTACATTGTATGATTTTAAAATATCAAAATCGTCCTCAAATTTTGTAATGATGCTTGTTGTTGGATTCTTTTCATTAGGCTTTACTTGAATATTACGGGGTGGAAGTGGATCTGAAATGAGATAGTAAAATTGTATTTCTGCTGTTGCTATATACAAATATAAATGGAAAACAGGTTCATGGATGTGTACTAAGATATATATTATACAAAATGGAAATTGGTTATATTTTAACTCATATAAAATGGTGGAAATGAAATAATATATAAGTCATTTTTAAAATTAGTTCCACACCTTATTACACAAAAATAAGTGAAATTGTACTTAATGCCAAGAATTAACAATACCTGTTATGAATGTTTCCCACTGGCTTAATTCTCCACAACCAGAATGATTTGCTGCAGCAATACGAATACTATAACAATGAGCCGGTTTCACATAACGAATTTCAAATTTTGGTTCATGTGTGGAATCTTCTGTTAATATTTCGTTTCCGACTCTCCACTGTACTTTGTATTTGTCTGGTTTAATTTCTAGAGCATCCCACGTGAAAATAACAGCTCCGAGTGTTTCATCAAAATCCGACTTCAAGTTTTGTATTTTGTCCGGCACTGAACAACAAAATAATCAACAACTTTGAGCACTCTGACTCTCTTTTAGCACGCTTTGAGCATATGACACTCTATGACCAAACAAATTGTTTCCTCTGTTCAAATGATGTATCTATATGTAGCTCTACGATGTATATAGTTGCTTGTGACTGTCCAATACTGCACTATCATGAGAGACCTAATTATGTAGTTTTGAGCAATGTTATGAAGAAAATGAACTCACAAGTTTTTTACATAGCCTTTGTTCATTGCTTCCTCACTCTTTGTATCATCCACAATAGCCATGACATTTATAGAATAAGATTCTCCAGCAACCAAATCTGAGAGCACTGCCTTGTGTTGATTTGTTTCGATGATTTTTTTTTCCAATGTTTTTTGTAGTGGTTTTGCTGTAACCTCATATTTTTTTCGTTGTGAAGTTTTGTCCTTGAATTCTACTATGAAGCCATGGATATCACCATTTGGGGTAATCACAATATCCACCGGTGCTTCTGGTTCTGAGTGAATAATAATAAGCATTGCATATATTTCTGTATGTAGCCATTGCTCATATTGACCAATAGGAAAACTGTAATCTTATTTGCTTGGCAATGTGATAGCTTGAGTTTAAGGCAGGATTTCAATAAAACTGACAATTGTTAGGAGATTTGGCAGTCATTTCGCAAATAATTTTCAGCAGCTAGATACCAAAATCGAAATTTAACTTTAATAACAAATTATATAGTGTTGTATATATGCCACAACTTGAATAAACTAAATGTTTGTAATATAAACTAATTCATACTCATAATCATTGTCTCCAGACGGAAGTCCAAGTCATAGCGTGAGTCACAGCCGCAGTGCAATCTAACAGTGTATGTGTTACCAGGTATGCCACTTCGGTAAACATAGCTGTCATTTTCAAGTATTATCTCAGAACAAACGCCAGTTTGGTTGTTTTCAATTTGAAGTTTAAAGCAATTCACACCATATGGTTTTTCCCACTTCATATTAGCACATTGAGAAGGATTATTTTCATCTGGTGTAATTGCAAAATAGCTTGGCTTTGACCACACTGTAACATAATGTTGATACCTTTGCATTAATTTTCAAGAAGGTTTTTAAAAATAGTAAAAGAGCTCACTTATTCGATAGTATTTCGATTTTGAAGTTTTGCCAATTGCTTTTTCTCTAATTGCTGTCACGGTACAGTAGCATAGTGACCCTGGTTTGGCTATTCCTTCAAACCTAAATTCAGTTTTGTCTGTTTCCTCTGTAGCAAGTTCTTTCTGCCCTCCAAACAATTTAACAACATATTTTTCTGGTTTGTGTTTCAGTGGTTCCCACTTGATCTCAACAAATCTCACAGGATCTTGACAATCGTCTTCAAGCAATTTCACGTCACTCGGTGCTAAAAGTTAAAATAAATGTACCTTCTTAAAATAATTAAACTGTATTCTATATTATATTAGTTCTAGATAACATACCTAAATTAATTTCACATTCATTCGACCAGTCCCCTTTTACTGTTCCACAAATACTCCTGACTGCCACTTTGTATTTGCTTCCGGGGCATTGGCATATATACTGGCATAAAGTTGTATCGAATAATAATATGTTTTCTAATTTATTTTGATCAGCACAGCAGATCCTAAGTTCATATTTTCCACATCTTTTTTGAGCTCGCCATTTTATTTGAATTTCTGTGCTCGGATTCTCATCATTCAAATTTACAACCGGAACTTTGCTTTTTTCTGGCCCTATAAAAAATAATATGTCAGCTGTATTATGCATTGCTATTCAAATAATCTTCAGATCAGCATAATCACAGGCAATTGCTAAAATCCATGATATCTTAACATATGTATATAATCTATTATTCGTTTTAAATTCAGCCGCTGGATTTAATTTTAACCAGCAAAATAAGTGCAAAGCAATTCTATTATCTATATTGGTGATTAAAATAATTCGTTATGAAGTTAGTAGAATATTATCATAAAAATGTTAATGGTTAAGTCACTCACTTGATAATACAGTTTCGGAACGAGAAGCTTTCCCTCTGACTTTTCCTGAATTTTCACCCCACATTATAATGTGATATTTTTCTGCAGGTACTTTCGGATTGAAATTACCCTCAGCCACTTTTTTATCCGCATTGCCATAAGCTTCGAATGGGCTTCCCTCCAATACTCCATTGCAATATGCCTGCACAAAATAGAATGGGCAATCCTTCTCAGCAACACTACATTGCACCACAATGCGATTTCCTTCTTCTTCCAAACTTGCAGTGACATTCTCTAGTTTAGTTGGTGCTGCAATAGATAAGTTATTATATCATTAGAAACGTGACATTCGTTTAAGATTTTGGATTATAATATGAATGTTATTGGAATTTGCCAGTAGTCAGTCAGTAGTTTATATCATAACAAACCGAAAGTACATATAGGTACATAATTAATAAAGATAAAGATAAAGATAAACATAATTATTAAAGATAAAAAAAATGTATTTCAGTGTGAAAGAATACGGGATAAACCAACGATGGTTATTGAGTAGCGTCACCGTGTGCAAAAAATGTACAGCCCATTTTCTAAGGCATCGTGGGTATGTTTTTGAAATTGTTGAAAATTCCTGCTCATAGTCAACTTATTTAAGTATTCTCACCTAATTCGACTATTGCTTGTTCAGACCATTCTCCATAGCATTGCTTATTTTTTGATCTCACTTCAACCACGTATTGTGTTGCTTCATGTAAGCATGGGTAGACCAACTCATTTGTATTTTCCACTGTAAGCCGACTTTCTATGACACTATAACGACCACGATTGATACGAACTTCATGTTTATTGCATTCAGAATCAGGTTTCCATTTTATATGTATTTCTCTTGAACTCAAACTTCCTTCGTTATCAACTGTGCAATCAGCTTTTGTGATTTCTGTTCTTGCAGGGGCTTGTAAAGAAAAAAAAAGTCAAATTAACCCTTGTCTGACTCTGTAAAATGAATCAATAAAGTATCTTTGTTTTTATTTGACTTTTAGATGAATCGTGTATATTATACCTGTTGTATATTTATTGGACCAGATTGCATCGCCTTCTCCAGTTGCAAACACGCCATGCACTTTTACTGAATAGGTTGAATTTAAATCTAAACCTTCAAAAATATATCCTGATTCAACAGAAACGGGTCCAATGACCTGCTGTTTTGCAGTATCCTGGTGTTTGTACAACACAGCAATGTATATTTTTGCGTTTCCTTCAGCATGTTGAAAGCTCAATGCCAAAAACTTTGGAGTTGAATTATCTTTTGCTGAAAGTTGAACCTGTTTTGGAGTCCCAAATTCTAAAGAAATGCTGGAATCAGTAAATTTGCACAAACCAACATATATAGATATATTT